GACCTTGCTTCTGCTCACATTTCAGTTCAGACTTCCAGGAGGGCCCGCAGCACAGTTATCATGTCAGGCTCTCATTTGTTTCACTTAGAGATGCTCAGTGTCCTCAAGTTCACTCCTGTCCACTCAGCCTCTTCCTCTGGTGCCTGCCTAGACCCCCCCTTTTGAGCAACTCCAACTCCCAGACCGTTTCCTTCCCAATTTCTTACCAAAACCTACACATTCCTGGGATGGACTTTAGAGTTCAAGTTCTTCTTCATTTTCTAGACTGAGACACTAAAGGTCCAGGAAGGTGACATGAATTGCCCAAGTTCATGTGACTATCTTCGCGGCCTAGCTGAGACAGACCTTAGGTCTCCTGCCTCCATGTCCATTGCTCTTTCTTTCACAGGCTGCTGTCCATCCTGGATCTGAACACCTTCAGCCTCAGGCTGCTGGTCAAGAGTGGCAAGGACCTGCTGCTACTCATGCTGAGTAAGCATCTTTCTCTTAGCCACAGTGATCAGGGTTCTAACTCACGGTGGTGGACGCTGGAGAGAGTTCATGTTAGCATCCTCTCGTGATTTACTGGTCACACCACTTTAATTAGCCCCCGAAATCACACTTCGGCAAGCGCCCCTGCAATGTGCTTTCTTAGGACTGGGCAGTGAGCGACATTCGCTGTCTAATTCTATATTCAAAGCTTGCAGAAAAGGCACGCCTTCCGGAAACCATGGCAACAGAACTCCAGAGTCATCCCCCTCAGCTTTACAACTTCCTGGGGGAAGAGTGCAGTTCATGAATGTGCTGTAATTTCTGTGAAGGGTATCTAAAGTCCTTAAAAACATTCATGAATGAGCCTTTTCAATACAACTTGGACGGAAGTCAGGAACTTCACCATCGAAACAGCAGTAATGAAACTCCATGGCCCCAGCACAGATATCTGAATGCCTGAGGGCAGAACAAAGGCCAGCAGAATCGGCCAAGAGCAGTTACTTCCACAAAATGCATTTACCTGAATAGGAACTTGAATGGTTTCCAAGTAGTGACACAGTACACTTCCCAAAAGTGTCACGTGTCCTTTATTCATCCTCTAAAGCTAAGAGTCTAAATTTAAATTGTATTCTACTTTGGTATTGGGGTTGTATTTTGGGGTTTAATCATCAGGACTGGATGATCTGAGGAAGCACTGCTTTTTTTTTTTTTTTTCCAGATGGAAAATTGGAGCACTGAAGGCTTGCCTTTTCTGCAAGCTTCGAATATAGAATTACAGGTCTCTGGTGCTTAAGGAACCCCACAGCACATCTCCTCCAAGCAGGTATTTTATGGATGAAGAACTGCTCTCTGTGAACCTGATAACATAGGAATTATCTGTCCTATTTTGTGAAATTTGTCCTGCTCTAGAAATAAGAATTAATGGAGGAGAAATTAATGGTAGTTATATTATTAGGATGAAGTGTGTACACAGCCCCAACAGAAATCAATGTCCTGGACTTCATCTACATGCCCTCAACTTATTTCCATTCCATTTTCTGTCATTCAGAGTGGACAACCACTTTAGGTTTCTCTGGGGAAGCCCATGAGTGTCTGCAGTGCTGTGTGTTAACTTTAAAATAATTCCTTCTTCGGTTTTTACTTTTTAGAAAAATAATTGAAATGAACTTCAAGAGTCTGCTCAAAGACACTTACATGACTTCATTTAAAAAATTAGGCTAAGACACACTTTCTAGATGACATTGTGACTACCCAATTGGACAATGGATGGAAAAGTACTTCAAAAAATCTAAAGTGCTTTGTAAAGAAATGGCTCCTTTTGTTTACTTGATGTACACATTCTACTCCATTTATGCCTCCAGCAAATATTTGTTAAGCACTATGTGCTGGGGTCCTATGCTAGACACTGTGGACATAAAGGGGCATTAAATGAGACCCCAACTCCAGGAGTTCACAACGAAGTCTGTACCTGAGCCTGGCGACCATCCACCCCCCACCCCCAATAAAACAAAGCAAGAAACTAGGCAAGGTTCCCTGTCATGTGCTGTCACAGCACTCAGTACTTCTTTCTTTAGCATTATCAGTTAAATCGTGGGGTGTTTTTTTTTCCATTTCAGTTAAATGGTTAAGTAATCAATGAATTGCTTACTACCTGTGCCAGTTGCTAGAATTTTAGCTCCATGGGAACGAGTACTTAATCTCTTTTATTCTCTGTTCTATACTGCACGCCTCGCGTGTCTGGAATAGAAACGAGGAGCAACGCACATTTGTTGAATGGGTGGATGGGTGAATGAATGGGAAATCCAGTGCAGGTCCAAAGCGTAAGCGAGTAACAGTGTGACGCGTAGTACTGTATGGGGGTGTGCATGGCACCCTGGGAATCTGCAGGAGGCGCATTTCAAGCTAGCCTGGGCGGAAGAGGCATTCATTCATCTTTGCAAACTCGGGCCCTTGCATGCCACCGTCCCCCACCGGCCTGCCTCTGGTTTAGCCGGGATGGTTCTCTGCACGGTCAGGATCTTGCCAATAGCAAGGCACCCCTAAGATCGCTTCAATGACAGGGCTCGACGCGGACAACAGCCAGAGATCACCTCCGGCTAAAAGCCAGAACGAATAAAGGGGGTTCGCTCCCGGGAGGCGGCGCAGAACCCGCCCCGGAGTCGGTCCCAGGCCTCCACGTCGGCGCGGGGCCCCTGGGCCGCCGCTGGTCACGTGACGCGGAGGCCGGGCCGTTCTGCGCCTGCGCAGGGCTCGGGGGGCGGGAGAGCCGCGTGCGCTGACAGCTTCCGGTGTGGTGGCCCCGCCCCTGCGTGGCAGAAGCTCTGGGGCTCGGCGGCGGCCCCCGTGGGGTGGCGGGGGGCGGGCGTGGTCGGGTCAGGTGAGTGCCCGGCGGGGCCGCCGGGAGCCATGGCCTGCTCCGTGGTCCAGTTCTGCTCCTTCCAGGACCTGCCGGCCGCCCGCGACTTCCTGTTCCCTCAGCTGCGGGGGGAGACCCCCCTCGGCGCCCTGCGGAGGGACCCCAGTAAGTGCCCCCGCCGCGCCGCGCCCGGCCCCGGGGGCGCCCTCCTCCCCGCGCGCCCGCCCTCTTCCCCCCGCGGGGACCCCCTGGTCTGCGCGTCCCCAAGCCGCCTCCGCCCGGCAGCGTGGGTGTCGCCTGCCTCTCGCCAGCTTCCTCCTGAGCACCCCGCCGCCTGCCCCAAGCCTCGTCCGCCTCCTCGGTCCCCGTGGGTCCCAGCCCCCAGCCCCGCCCGGGCCCCCACCCTGGCTCTCTCGGCAGCGCCGGATCAATCTCCCCCCCTTTCTTCGAACCGGTGTTCCCCGGTGCCTAGACAAATGTCGGAACAACAGGCCCAATACCAATTTCCCTCGACCGGGGTCGAAGTTAATTGCTTGGATCAGGGTTTCAAGATGGGGAAGAGTTTACGTAATTGTAATAGAGTTGTGTGAAACTGAGTCTTAACAGATATCAGAGCGTAGCAAGATATAAAAG